ACCACATTTTAGTTCTGTCCTGAAAGCAGTCTCATTTTCTGTTTCCCTTACCAGGAAAATGACTGCTGCGGTTCAAATTCTGAAACGTAATACTGAGGTTATTACTTTTATTTTCACAGTCTCCTGACCAGAAAGACAGTCATACTCCATTGACTCAAGAATATTTTTTTTCACTTTACAAATGTGTCATTCTACTTTGCATGCTCAAATATTCTAGTTCCAAAGTGCAAGCAACTGAAAACTAAAATTTAAAAATACTAATTAAGGTTCCATGAAGAATGAAGTTTAAGCAAAAGAGCGTAGGGTACTTATTACTTCAATAAAACAGAAATGAATGCATGTGAGAGTAGTGCCATTCTCTGTTAACCCTTCATGGCACAGTAACCCCCTGAAGGTTTCTGATTAGACCCCTAAACTCACTGCCCAAACGATTACCAGGGACACCAGGTCCAATGGAATTAAGCTGAATACCCCACAATGGTTTATTACTCCCTGGGGGCAGGGGGGATTCTCTGTATGTAGCTCTATCATATATATAGTTTGGTTTTTCTGGGAAATAGGTGGGTATATCTAAATGACTCCAGGCAAATACATCCCAGAAGCTGACAAAAAAAGAGGACAAAGTATGAACAGTATTCTCTCCCAGTGGGTTTCCACAGGCAAGCATCATGACAAGTAAACTCTCGACAAACTCTCAGGCCCCGCCCCAGACTTACTGAATCAGAATCTCTGTGTTTTTTTGTTTGTTTGTTTGTTTTTTTTGTGGTACGCGGGCCTCTCACTGTTGCGGCCTCTCCCGTTGCGGAGCACAGGCTCCGGACGCGCAGGCTCAGCGGCCATGGCTCACGGGCCCAGCCGCTCCGCGGCATGTGGGATCTTCCCAGACCGGGGCACGAACCCGTATCCCCTGCATCCGCAGGCGGACTCTCAAACACTGCGCCACCAGGGAAGCCCGAATCTCTGTGTTTTAACAAGATTTATCTCCATGCGACTCTGATGCACACTCAAGTTTGAGAACCACTGTCTAGAGAGACCAGATGAACAAGTACATTAAGCCTAGACCAGGGTTCCTCAACCTGGGCATTACTGACATTTGGGGCTGCATAATCCTTTTCATGAGGGTCTGTCCTGTGCATTAAAGGATGTTGAGTATCCTCTACTTACTAGATGCCAGGAGTACCCTCCCCCAGTTATGACAACCAAAATGTCTCCAGATATTGCCAAATGTCCCCAGGGGGAGGGGGGAGGGGGTGGAAGGCAGAATCCTAGCATTTTACACTTGCTGCCAGAGTAGACAATCACTGACACTGCCTGGACTCAGGTTTTCCAAATGTGTAGAGCTAGGGACATGGCAGAAAGAACTGGGGCCTCAGAGTCAGACCTGGGTTCAAATCGCAGTCCTGTCATTTACTAGCTACATGACCTTGGGTACTTACTCAATGTCCTTTGTGCCCCAGTTTTCTAAATGATCAAATGCCCATTACAATAAGATGCCTACACCAAACGTTCCATAAAACTCCCAGCGGGGCCTGGGGCAGCACCTGCAATTAAATGCATTGCTATTTCTGCAGTGAAACAAATGAATATTCACACCACATGGGACAAATAAAGATTACAAATAGTCTCAACAATATAGGTCAAGTTTTAGCACCAATGAGTTTTCAGGCCTAACTCACACAAAAAAACAAACAAACAAAAGCACATTTGACTTTTTAAATACTTTGAATTTTGGAACTGCTGATAAGACTAGGTGACTGAACTCACCTCACAGGAGATGTGAGGATTGGATGCAGTCACTTACATTGGTCCACTTCTGTACTGAGAGAGGAAAGGGACTTTTAAAAGGTTAACTATTGTTATTTCTCAAGTACAAATTCTGATCATGTCATTTGCTTGCTTTGAACTCTTTGATGGTCCCCCACTGCTTGCAAACTAAAGTCCAAATTCTCCTGTCCTTTCCCTCTGCCTGGACCAGGGTCACACAGACCACTCCTCTCTCCAGTGATTTCTCCTCCGGGAGGCTTTCCTTGAAACCCAGCCCTCAACCAAGGATACTCCTTCCTCTGTGTCTCCCCAGCACTCAGGAAGCTGAGAGCACATGGCCATCTCTTCACCACCCATCCAGCCCTTTGGAAAAAACAATTTCAGCATCAGTTTTTTCTACCCACCGGTCTGGCATGGGCCCGGCACACAGTAAGTGTCCAATAAATGCTTGTTTGATGAATTAGGGTGGTCAGTGTTCTATTTCCTCAACAGGCTGGTTCTATCAGGTCAGAGGCCATAAAATTCGAAGTTATATAAGGGCAGGTGCTATGACTTTTGATCCTTGTTCTATCTCTAGGGCCTGGCACTCAGTAAGTACAGTATTGCTAAATATAGAAATGAGTGAATAAATAAATGATTGAAGAATATGAAACACATTTATGACAATGTAAAAACAAACCACCACATCCAACAACAACAAAAACCCCATAGCCGTGTGCTTTCGTAAATCTCATAAAGTGTAGCACCTGCTGAAAAGAGTGTCCTACCTTCCAGGACGGTCCATGGGCCTGAAACACAAATTAGAAACCCGAGGCCCCAAGCCTCGCCTGGTCCAGTCATCTGCCAGGACCCTGCTGTGCCCCAGTGACAAAACGAGCTGATCTAAGGCTCTCCCAGAACACTTCAGTCCCAGAGCAGCTAAGTAATCACTTTCCATAAAACATTAATCAGCACTGCTCCTGGCCAATAATCTCAAATATTCAGCGACTGACCCAACACACGAATCATAAATAAAATATTTTACCGAATAAAGACAGGTAACTTGTATAAAGTGTTGTCTGCATCTATGTTCATATCATGCAAATATTATTCTGTCCTTTGCCTTTTTTTACATTCCCCTCTTCTCCCTGTGGCTCATGCATCCCTCTCTCTCCCATTCCCATCCTGGTGACGCACCCACACCCAGGTCCCACCAAGGTCAGCTACATGTAAATTGCCAGCTCACAATAAACTCACTCAAAATCAAAATACAAAAAGGTCAAAGAGGCACTGAGGGCTTCAGGTTTCCTCTTTCCATTTGGGACAGGCCCTGAAAGGTACTTACTTCAAAAGATAGATTACAAAAGGCCTCCAGCTTTAAGAGAACAGCAGTACCTTCCTTCTTCCAGAAAGCCTTTCCACTTTTGCAATATCACCATTTAAGACCACTCATTGTAGCAAGGAAACACAGTTTTTTTCAATACCATCAGTCATTTCCTCCAAATTCCCACAGTAGTGGCTTTACTAACCTTTTAAACTTTTAGGGTTTAAAAAAATGCCAAAGTTTTAAAACAAATAACCTCTCTCCAATCCAATCACACAGCCCTGGGAAGACCAGAGAGCTGGACTGGGGAATCCTGGGGTGCATTTGTGGCATCACCAGTATTTCTGTGCCTCTCCATGGGCCTCAGTTTCCTCTTGGATAGAATGAGAAAATCGCATCAGATCAGTGTTTCCCAAAATACGGTGGGCAAGATGTCTTGTTACAAGATACAGCTGACTTTAGGTGACACAGATGAATATGTTTTAGCTTTTAGTTTAATTTTTTATGGCAAGTGATAACCGGTTTTCCATTAATAGTGGAAATATCAAATTATCTTAAAAATAAAAGTATCTTTCACTATTCTTATTAAGTTTTTTCTTAAGAGAGTCACTTTTAGAAAAAAAAAAACTATTTTTTAAGTAACAATTCAGGTGGTCCGAGCTGCTGTGATAAAATAACTGATCTAGGGACCTGGTGTGCGCGACACAGAGGTGTAAACTCCAGCGTAAAGCAGAAGGAAGACCGCTGAAGCCCCGGGAGGTTTGTTGCAAGAAGGGAATCACTGGCACCGGGTCCCGCGGTAACCGGCCGCCAGTCCCGGCTCCCAGAGAAAGCGGCTCGGAACTGACCGAGGAGGGGACGCATCCAGCTCTGGGCGAAATCCCACAAAGGAGAGTGCGAGGGGGGCGGGAGCCCCAGACTGGAGGGACGTGGCGGAGATGCGGGTCTCGGGCTGGCAGAGCGCAGTGGGCGCGGGTGGGACAGGTGTCCCGGACTGAAGGTGCGAAGCAGGTACGGCGTCCCGGGAGGGAAGGGCGCGGCGGGGGTCGAGACTAGAGAACCCCAAAGCGGGAACCCTGGACGGGGGTGGAGCCCAGAGCCAGAAAGGGCGGCGGGGTAGACAGGCCGCGGGACCCGGGGGCCGTGGACGTCCCCACGAGAAAAGGGACGAGGCCGCCGACCCCACGGTCCCTACACCCGGTCGCCGGCGGGAGTCCGGGCCGCCCCCGTCGCGCCTCGGCCCCGCGCTCGACCCGCCGGCCCTACCTGTCCTCGCTGGCTGTGATCACGCCGTCCTCCTTGGGGATGAGCAGCGCGGCCGTGACGGCGTCCTGGTGCCCCTCGATCTTGCTCAGCAGCACCGGGCGGCTGCTCTGCGGCCTGGAGTGGATCTCGGCCGCCATGTTCGCACAGCGGCGGCGGCGGCGGCGGCAGCGGCGGTGGCGGTCTTCGCGGCGGGCGGCCCATCAGCTGATGGCCGGGCGGGGACCTGCAGGTTTCGCTTCGGCTCCTTGGCGGTGAGGGTGCCGCACCGCCGTAAGCTCCCGAGTGCTGCCGCCAACGATCGTATTGGCTGGGGAAGAAGCGCCCAGCAAAATACTTGGCGGGGAGAG